AGAACATAAAGACCGTTCTCCAGTTCCCTATATGCGATGAATTTATTGTTTTTTTTAATAGTAATCGTATTACTGAAAAAGACAGAATATCCATCCGCACACAGTTTTGAGACARAAATCAAATTTCTTCTTAGATTTTGCACAAAAAGACAATCTTTAAGTACAATATTTCCTTCTCTAATTTTTAATTCTACGGTGCCTATTGCCGTAGCTGCAACGCTTGCAGAAGTCCCCAAGTAGAGCATCACTTCTCCATCATTCAGCCTTCTGCTTACCTTGAACCCCTACAGTGAGTTACACGCATGAGAAGAAGAGAATACTCCAAGACTATTTCAACTCGTGGGCTAGGGAAACCAGCTCGCTCCAACAAGAACTGCCCCAAAGACCAACCTTGATGAGGGTCACCTCGAAATACTCCTAAGAGCTTGCTACAAAGTAGCTCGCTGCGCGACAAGGTAGCTCGCTACAAAGTAACTCGCGACTAAGCAACGTGACGCTCTCAGGAAGCTTCTATCTGACAAGACCGTACTCGTCAGACTGCACCATGTCTCTCAACTGACAGCGCAGTCCCTGCCTATTTGACAATCTGCACCCACGTCTTTCGACAGATGGTGGCGTGCTTGTTCCTTTAAAACGTGTCACTCATCCAAGCGGGTAGTACATTATAATAATCACCTGCGCAGCCCTTGCAGGTAACGACTACGGTAGGAGCCCAGTGGCGATTACGCCCGATTTGACAAGAATGCTCCTATAAAAGCCCTTTTATCGAAGAGGAGAACTCTCTCTCGAATTAGATCTGAACTTGGACTCTTACTTGCTCATGAGCTAATCTCGAGACATAGTGATCTAGCGCGACCTACACTCTTAGCTTTTTACACTCTTTTCTTCCTCCCATCGTTCTAACTTAAAATTTGGAGTATTCCCGCCGGGCAAATCCCCCGGGGATCCTTCATCTTCCTCTTCTCAGGTGTCATTCGTTGCCAACAAGGTGCCAGTCAGCAGCCAGTTAGGAGTGCCCGGATCGTGCCGCATCAAATGTAACTCTCTCACCTCCAATATACTATTCCACAAATTAGGTGTAAAGAAAATGGTGTGAGTACTTTTCTATGAAAGAATAGTTGCATGTTGGCCAAGCATAGATCCTGAATCTTAGTGGACCAGGTTTTACAGAGTTGCTTGCACAGCTGTGTGGGTCCCTTTGGAGTATGCCAAACATTAGCCCTGGAGAGAGATTCTAAATGTGCATCGTTTTGCTTTCTTTTCTAGAAACGTCATAGAAATGGACCACATTACTATTTATATCTTTTCTTGATTTATAAGAATCATAAGGAATGAAAGAAAAATTAAAACTGAAAACAAAACAAAGATCTCTGTATTTCATTGCATATTAAAATTAATATATACCATTACAATTTCTATTTTTTTACAGTTTATTATACTAAATTCAAGAAATTAATCCAATGATTTACCAATAGGCAACAACAATCAAGATTTGAGCTTCTCGATTATGAACCAATTAAGATGGAGTATTGAGTAAAGCAAAAGAAAAACCAAAACTTCAAATATTTTGTTAGTTTGAATGAACAATGTAGTTGCATTTCTTTACCTGTCTACACTTGGACTTCATGAAAAGATAATCCAAACCCTTTAGGAGAAACTTCAAGACACTTTGTATACAAACAGTTGATGTTGTCTGATATGAGGTGTCTCGAATCAAGATCACAGTCAAATAATCTTGTCAACTGGCGAAACTGAGGTAGAAGAACGAATTCACACAGCAAGATCTGAAACAAGAAATTGATCAGAGGCCCGAGGAGTTGTTCCCCGGGTAGGCACTCCAACGTGCAAGTCAATAATGGGAGATGGATGGTCTGGCCGAACAGTTGAGAGAAACTTGCTGGTCCGAGTAGAGGCAGAGTAACAGTATGGAGGCTGAAGAGTCAAAAGTTCCTTACCTTGAGCGAGGGTTACCTACTTAAAGCCAAGAATCCGTATCCTATTCAGATGAGTTTTTCGGGGTTGTCAGGGATAAGGTTGTCCGTTGAGGCCTTCGGGATAAGTCTTAATCATCGGCGGAGCTGTCCTCCTTATCCATGCAGGGTTCTCCTTTCTTGGTCGCGCTTATCCATCCTACGTGGTGCTAACGTGGCCGAAGAGATAAGATGGCCGTGGAGGTGACACGCGGGGCCAATTCAACCATAACCCAAATACAGCAAGATGTATATCGTGCAAAAAATATAATCTAAAACAAAGGTGAGATTTTGGAATGAAATCTTGGACATATATTTGTCAGATTCATGGGAATGGGGAGATGAAACTTGGTTTGAACTGAAAATATTTATATGGATCAATAAGGCTGCGTTTAGTTTAAAGGAAAAAGTAGGGAAAGGCAGTTTGTGTAGATTTCCCTCCCTTTCCCTTCTTTTCCCCATCTTTTTCTTCAAACCAAACGTAGCCTAAAAGAACTTAGTGTCAGTTCAAAGAAATTGATGCTCAAAATGTTGAAGTTTTGAGAATAAAAAACAGAAAAAAAGATAAAAGTAATGTTGTTGGCTTGGTGTTGGAAGAGAGAGTACGAAGTATTCGAATTCATTGTGGATGGCTCAATTGAGATTGACCTCTAGGCTCTCGGCTCTGTGTGCTTTGAGGGTTCACGGAATTAGTCTTTTTTTTTTTTTTTTCAAATTGAGTGAAGGAGATGAGATCGGCTTCAGTCAGTGCTGGGCCCTTCGAACAACCTTTACAGCCTTCCATGGGGAGATATTCCCAATGCAAGGCTATAAAGGTTTTCGAACAGGCCTTGCACCGACTGAATCGAGATCGGCTTCAGTCAGTGCAAGTCCTGTTCAACATCGTTCGAACAGCCTTTACAGCTTTGCATCGGGAACATTTTCGTACTTATATGTTTTATTTTATGGGAAAATATTCCTAATGCAAAGCTATAATAGTTGTTCGAACGGGTATTGCACCAACTTTATCCGGTTTCGAAGAAGATGATTTAAATGGAGTTTTAGGCCCAATTTTTATTAGGTATTTATACGGATTTGCTAAATGGGTCATTTTATTTTAAATTCTACTTAAAATAAATAAAAAAGAATTAAATCTAGTAAAATGTATCTAATAAAAACTAATAAAATTAAATCTAATAAAAATCAAAACGAAACAAGTTTATCTAACAAAAAAAATAAAATTCATTTAAATATAATTTAGAATAATAAAAGTTAACAAACATTATGGAAAAATTAATAGAAGTTTATCTAACAATAAAAATCCAAAAACAATGTAAGGGTTAGGAATTGGAGTCTGCTCCTTACAAAGCCCTCCTCAAATTGCCCTCACAGCCATTCCAACTGTGTATATATTGAAAAAATCTCTCATGAATAGTATAATAACACACGTACTGTGAGGTTGGTGTGAGGAACGCTCTACAAGGAGGAATAGCTAGACTCCAAGGTTAGAATCGATTTGAATTTTGCCCAATTGAATATGTCATAAGTAAAAAAATGTAATAAAGTGGTCCTTGGCACCCAAAATTTGAACTAAAATGTTAAAAGGATCATTTTTAGTGTTCCTCCGACTCCCAAAATTAAAAATTTTGTTTAATTCTATAATAGACCCAAACCTTGCCACCCTATTTTCCTACACAGCATACCTCTTCTACTCCCACGTCATTTTCTCGTTTAACTCCGCACGCAGTTGGAAGGTGCTGTGACAATGGTGTGAGGACTGAATCCAAATTCATCTGCCGTCTGCCCTAGTTGTGACCGTTCTTTGATCCCTTGGAGGAGGATATTGCATACGGAGATTTCTGCAACAAAGAATATGCAGATCGATGCACCTACTAATTTGTTGTCAATCCAAGGAGCGATGATGCCGCAATTGACTGATTTTGATATTATGAAGACTAATTAGACCGGTGAAGGGAGTATGAATCATTCGACCGTTGATGCCACAATTGCCTGATTTATTTTCTCGACCGTTAAAACCAAAATCTGTGCATGCATGGCGGGTATCATTAATGTTAATTCCAATCCGATGGTTTCAAACCTTTCAGTTTTGATGTGATATACCCGACCGTTGAACTTCTAACAGTCACTGCAGGGAGAACCAAGGAACCCAGCAACGGTCTGGATTTTGGACGTCCTGATGGATGATGAGCGTGCCACTGCCATGAGTATTATTATTATAAAGCCGGTCTTGCTTCGAGGAGAGGCCACTTCCTCTGGTTTTGCCATTACTATAGTCTCTCTCTCTCTCTCTCTCTCTCTATACATGCACAGAGTGCTTTCATGGTGGAAATGCCCCCAGTGACTAAAAAGCTGCGACAGCCTAGACCAATTGCTGAAACAAAAATACGTAGAATGACAAGCCATCGACGGAACAGACCTTCCTTCTTCAAAGTTTTGATCGCCCCCAACTTCTCCAGACTGCTGGTGAGAAGAGAGGATTTTCTTTAGTACGTGTAGCTCCTATATGTTGTATTTAATTTGACATTTTCTTCATTTTTCCTTTTAATTTTTGTAGAGGATACCGCCACCTTTCATGAAGCATTTCAGTGGATCAGTGCCCAAAACATTCATCCTCAGAAGTCCAACCGGAAAACTTTGGTCTGTAAGGGTGAAAAGGATTGAAAAACAATTCTACTTTGAAAAGGGTTGGCAGAGATTTGTGAAACATCATCGATTGGTGGCAGGGGACCTCTTAGTTTTCAGCTATCATGGTGATTCCAGATTCACTGTTAAAATATACGACACGAGCTCTTGCGAAAAGGAATTGCCTTTTCTGCTTTCTTCATCATCAGCTCAGACAACCACTTCCACTCAGAGTGGTCAGAGTAATCTCCGGCCAAAGAACAAAAAGCAAGGCAAAACAAAGACCGAATCCACCACCAAAGCAATTGTTTCTACTAGTAAAGGTAATGGTGATGAGTTTTTCTTCAGCACAATACTCACAGTCGTTATCCATGCAACGCTTCTCATATTCATGATATATATGGACGCAGTTGGCCGTGCTACACCAAGGAGGCAACCAAGAAACGAGGCGATTAAAGCAGCCTCTTCGTACAAAACAGAATTCCCACAGTTTGCATCACTGTGTGGCAAGACTAGCAGAAGTCACATGGTGCGTTTTGGTCCTAAACTTCTAATTTTCGATATTCATCTTTGGACTGTCAGAGGAAAGATGCTTATATATTGTTGTTTCAAATGTCTCACCCAATTTGAATTTCTTCTGTTTATGGTGGTGCACGAAATTAATGAAGATGATTCCAAAGGCGGTGACGAAAGAGGTAGGGCTGACAAGCGAGGGGAAAGCCATGCTTTGGGATCCTCGGGGGAGGTCGTGGAGCGTCAGAGTTCATCCAAGGAGCGATGGCCGAGCTGATATTTCAGGCGGGTGGCCTGCCTTTCGGAAAGCCAACAACATAGTACAAGGTGATGCCTGCAATTTTGAGTTCATCCGAGGGCCTGGGGTCGTAATCTGTGTCAACATTTTCCGGGAGGCTGCAGGATTTGGAGAACTCGCACACTTTTCTAACCAGATACCACGCGCACCTCCACCTTCTACGGCCACAGTGCTGAAAGCGTTGCCATGTATCACAGAAGAGGACGTATCTGAAACAGATGCTGGCGGTAGTGGGGAAGTCACTTCTGTGGAACTCAAGTAGAAAAGCAGAAAATATTACTTTTGAACTTTCTTTTTTGGGTTCATCAATCAATCACCTTAATTAATTATTTAGATGGTAGAATCAAAGGAATTAATGCATCTTTTTATCTGGTTGAAACTGAGTGCATCAAGGTGTAATTTTGGCATGCAGTTGAACAGGGTTATAATGTTTTAATTTTTCTGTAAAAAATGTCAGAGAGGCAAATGGCCTTTAATTTGGTGTGATTGACAAATCTTTTACTGCTCTGACATCCATATTTGAACCAGGGGATTTCCTCTGACATGGATCTAGTTATGGCTGCAAATCAATATCAGTTTTATCTGAATCTGAACTTGAATTTAGTTTAGGTAACAGCCGATTTAAATTTCATCAGATGCATAAAATTGAAAATGCTGACAACGGACAACCCCGCTTAAATGATGACTGCGGATTGAGGGCTCGACAGTCAAGACTTTCTTTCTTTCACTGTCAGTCTATCTTGAGACTGGCTGAAATGATGGTTAATTTTCAACTTCTCGAGAACTAACAAAGATGGAAGCATAGCGTCTCTCTGAGATTTACTGGTTGGATTTCGCCGCCCTTCTGGAGGTTGGTCGTCGTATACGTTGGCAGAAACAATGAACCGTCGCCGTAGTTGCCAAGATAGCTCCGATGTTTCATCAATCTCCTGGGTAAAGAGTTTTCATTTCTTCAAGATAATCCATTCCTCCATTCTTCAACAACGACAACTTGTAAGTCTCTCTCTCTCTCTCTCTCTCTCTATCTGGCTTTTGTTACCGGTACACGATGATGTTATCCATGTGAGATTTCTGTTTGTTTAGAATGTATGAGGCATCAACTCCCCTTCTTCCTCTACTGCCTCGTTACCTCCTGCCCATTCTCTGCACCAAAAATCTCAATCCCAATGATCTAGAGTTAGAGTTAGACTGTGACTGTGCTGTCCTCATCTCCATCCAGTTCTCTGTCTTGCGTCGGACCTTGCCCTGGTTTTGATCCAGATGGTAGGCCCCAAATGAGGTTTGCTCTGTGTCATAGGCTCCATGTGGGTCCTTTTTCCACACTGAGCCATCTTGGGATCCTAATCCAAATTTAACCCAACACAACTCGGATTGTATAGGAGGAACCTCCCTTTTCAACTCACTGGGAAGACTGAGCCAGTTGCTCCTTTTTTTTTTTTTTTTAAACAGGTGATCCCAGAAAAGTTTGTGAGGAAATTGAGGGGAAATCTCTCTACTGTTGCAGTCCTTACCGTTCCCAGTGGTAAAGTATGGAGAATAGGGTTGAAGAAGGTGAATGGAAAACTATGGTTCCAGAAGGGTTGGCAAGAGTTCGTAGAGTATCATTCTTTAGGCGAAGGGCACGTCTTGGTTTTTAGATATGAAGGGAATTCACATTTTCATGTCCTTATATTTGATACCACAGCCTCTGAGATAGAGTATCCATGTGATCATACTGAGAATCATTTAGAAACCAGCCTGATACCATGCAAGGTAAAGGAAGAAATATTGCAAGAGGATTCTCTGGAAATCTTGGATGTTTTTCCACCTTCCCTGGGAAACCCTGCTTCTCTAGCTACTCCAAGCAGTAAGGGTGTCATTAAGGAACGACTAGAAGATCAATGCACGACTAGAGGAAGAAGAGAAAATCACCCAAGATGGTCAAGGAAAAGTGAGCCGAGTTGTGGAACAAAGAACCATGGCAATGGCAATCCACATCCACAAGCATCGAGTACTCCTTCTGTTGGGCATAAAGGTAGAATTGAATTTAATCCAGTGAGAAACTTTCGAAGTTGAAATTGAATCATTTGAACCATCACTCGATCAAGATTCTAGGTTTGGTAAAAAACTGTTGACTTGATCAAAAACCGCTCGACCTGAACAATCAAACCATGACTTCAACCTGGAGGCAAAAACGGTTTGGCCTCCGGATAATGTCTTTGCATTATAGTTTTAATTTGGAGTTTAGAACATTATCTCATCTCTTTTGATTAATTTGTTGAGTGCAAAGGGATGCATGGTTTTGCAGAGACGGAAAAAAAGAGTGCAATCACAAGTGGAACCAAAAGGCGCCCTGATTCTAGGGCTTTTGCAACGAGGGGTTTGACAATCCAAGAAAGAAGTAGAGTTGGTAAAGCTGCAAGAGCATTTAAGTCCAAGAATCCTTTCGTCTCGGTTATTATGCGTCCATCATATGTTGGTGGAGGAGGAAGAGGATGCAGTCTGGTCAGCTCCTTGGCTTATTCCTAAAACAAATATCAAAACTCCTATCTAAAACATCATTCCCAGATGGGAATATCTGCAAAATCTTCACATGGATTTAGAAAGGGTTGAATAGAGTAGAGAGATTAACAAGTTTTTTTTTTTTTTTAATTAGGTAGATAGTGTAGTATAGTGATCTACTGAAACATGAAATCATGGTCGTGCAGGATCTACCAATGGAGTTCTGTAGGATATATTTGACAGAGGAGATGCAGAGGAACATCAAAATGGAGGATTCTGACGGGAGATCGTGGTCCGCCCGGCTTTTCTTTGAAGGAAATGGTGCAGTGAGGATATGCAAAGGTTGGCGTAAGTTTGTGCGGGAAAACCATTTGAAATTAGGTGACATCTGCATCTTTGAGCTGGTTGAAAGAAACCCTGTCAAGCTGAAAATTGTCATCTTTCGGATGGCTGAGAATTAGATTACCCCTAGTCCCTAAGACACCAGTTTATATCCAACAGATATAATGTAGGTAAGCTTATTCCGTAAACAATTAGGGAAATTCTCTTAAGTTATCTCTGAGTTTTAGCAGTTTTTAATATTTGCAAAATCCCTTAAATACAGTTGACAATCATTAACCACTAGGGATGTCAACGAATTGGGTTTGGTATGGGTTTGTCTCAATCCTAACCTAGCCCTTCAGTGTCCCAATCCCAACCCAACATGACCTGATTCAAAAATACATCATTATGAACTTGCCCTGTAGCCTTTAAATTGTATGTTTTAACAAATTTTGAAAACTTGAAAGCTTTTCTTTATAGATTCTAAGGTATTACTTTTTTTATTTAAAGAAGGGGAGGAAACCAAAATCAACATGTAGAGAAATCCCAACTTTTGCAGTGTAGGGATAAAGAAGTCAAACTGTCAAACGACGAACAGTGAAAATTAACAATTGTTGCAGTGTAGGGATAAAGAGAAAAAAAAGGAGAAAAGAAGAAAATAAGAAAGAAAAATGAAGAGCAAGGAAAGATGGGGAGAAAGAGAGAAAAAGAAAGGAGTGTCCATCGGTCTTCTCGGCTGACTGAACCAGTCTCCATTTAACTTTCACCTAACCTGAGCATCGAAGTGAAAGTGAAATGGGTGATGATGGAACAGCAACTGCCAGCTCCCATTTCCAAGTTCACCCAAATCTGCATTACTTGATCAAAAACCCAAAGAGAAAACTGGAACCCTCACTTTATTTAGTGGAAAATTAGAAATCAGACGAAGATATAAAGTTGATATTTACTTCAAAAGATATCGGCTATACTGCAATGTTTCGAAAAACGATACGGAATGTTTCGAACTGGCCACTGGCTTTTTTGGATTGACGTTTCAACTGTCTGGTCCAAGTGGATGGCCTGTTTTGACAAAATAAATTAAAAAATAAAAAATAATTAAAATTTAAAGGCCAAAAACCATTTAAACGGTTTGACTGTTTGGATCAACGGTTTTTGGCCAGGACTGGGTTTGGGGTAAAATGGAATCAATTGCCTGAATGATTCCCAAGTCGAATGGTCTGACTGTCTCAACAGCGATTCAAAAACCATGCTACACTGAGAAGGCGTTACCTCTAATGGTTGATGATTGTGAAAAGTTTACCAACAGTGTCGACTGGTAATAGGAAAAACAAAGCAGTTGACCTCTCCTTTAATATATATACTAACTGAATAGAAATCATGTGCTCTCAAACTCTATAAATTGAGTTCCCTCTTGATGTTTTCCCTGTTTTCTTCACGCTTGACACTATAACCAGCAAACCAATCCAAGCATATGGAGAGGTTGCAAAGCTAGTAGAGTGGCTACTATGTCTCTAGTTCTTTTTTAAAGCTATCGACTGAACGCGGGAACAGATTTTGCATGTATCAGAAATGATGAAGCCGTTATTGCTAGTAAACTATCAGAGGTGTTGCTATGTCTCTAGTACTTCAAATTAAAGATCATGCAGTTACAGACCATGGGTGTTGCATGCAGACTTCTCTATTATACTCAAATTGGTTATATGCAAAGCCAAATCTCTTCAGAGTGGGAACACAACAAAGACAATATTTTTATAAGGAGGCATTATTGGCAATCTTCTGTTCCTGATATGGGGTTGTAAATCTGTTATATTGTTAATGGGTTTGTTGGATGTGAAAAGGCTAAATCGGCTAAACTAAAAAAATTTCATTGATTCATAAGACAAACTTCAACCCACTCTGTACACTTGCACAAAACTAGATGACTTAGTAGAAATCTGAAACCAACATTACATACTCACCTATGATGTTGATGAAGGTCAAAAGTGTTGGATCCCTACTATCGATGATAGCTTGAAGCTCAACAAGTGTAATTGGAAACTAGATCTGCAAGAAAAATGCTTTCAAAGGGCTTGGGTGGATTTTCGAGGTAAGGAACTTCGACGTTCAAGTGAGTATCGAACTCTTCAAGGCGGTAGAAATCAATAGGGCAGGAATCAAAACGAGAGTGTGTGTGCATATATGTAAGTGTTCCTTCTTATACCTTATATGGACCTCGAGGCTTGGTTGAGGCGTGTCTGACATGTTCAGGCATTGCGGGTGTTCCTATTCACTTCCCCACGAAGCAGGGGTGAGCGGGCTTATTGTTGCCAAGTAGGCATTGTGTCCAATTATCTTTTGGGCCAGTTATCCGGTGTGAATGGAGAAGAATAAAAGTGTGCCATATGGGTTGAAGGCGTGTTGAGGCCGGAGAGGTCCCTTAGATTGTGGGCTGCCCAGGTCTAACAAGTAGGTTGAGAGTATAGTCAAATTGAGAGAGTGCTCTAGGCCAATAGGTCAATTTGTCAGGGTGTGTTCAAGTAGGGTTTTGCCACATGTGTTATTGAGGTGCCATAAAGTCGTTGCCATGTGGTCGAATATCATTGGAGGGATAAATTGTCCCTCATCAATTGCCCCCCACTTCCAATCTCAAGGTGAATAGCTCAAGTGATGGAAGTAGTTTGGCTTGGGTCGAGTTATCAAAATGTCATGGATTCACATCGGTTTGGGATTGTCTAGCAAGTCATGTCGCCTTCTGCATGGATTTCATGCAAAAATTAGCTATCACAAATGCCAACAAATATACTAATCTAAATTTGGACCTTAATAGATGAATTGTTGCAACCTTCCGGACTATCAGATCAAAGATACCTCAATCGTAAATGATCCGCTATCCCCATCTATCAATAGTGAGGCCAAGGGGGTCCATTTGCACTTGTTCACTATGGAGGAGCGTTGTAGAGAGGTTGAAGAGATCAACGTGTGGTAGGAGAATACGGTTAGAGGTAGGTCGGTTTGGTCCCTTAGCCTTTCTTGGTGAGTTTCCCTCTCTTCTTTACAATTATGTCTAGTTTTGGGTTTGAGGGTGAGGAGCGAGCTGGCGCCTAGGTTGAGAAAGGACCCTCGATCCAAGAGCATCGAGGTTCCCATAAAAGGGCCTCGTCCTCAAGAAAGAAGTCAGAGTTTGTCCCAACTCGACTAACTCTCGCTAACCTTTGGTGTATTAAGGAGTGGTACCATGTGCTTGAGGGTTTCCAATTTCTCCTTCTGAGTCTGGTCCTTATCCACAGGACCACAACAAGGGCAAGGTCTATGTCTACGGACGTATTTCAATGCCAGGCTTAGATTTTCTCTCCACCTTTTCATCTCCAAAGTCTTGAATAGACCTGTTCATGGACTGAGTGGTCCGACGGGCCGGCTCGACCCCTGGACGGGCTTGAACGTGGTTATAGGCCCGCGGGAATAAATTCGAGCCAAATAGCCTGGCCCGCAATAAATTCGAGTCGGGCTTGGGTTTTGTTAAAATAGCCTGGCCCGAGCCCGGCCCGACCCAACCTAATATTAAACTTAAAGTGAGTAATGTGATTATGTCCATTTGAATAAATTTTTTTATTTAAGAATGTAAAACTGTGTTTTAAAATATAAAAGAAAGGGGAAAAAACCATCTTGTAGGCCCATTGTTCATTTAAATAGGAAGAAAACTATCTGAAGTTTTAATTCTAATTTGAATAGGGAAAATTGTTTTTTTTATTAGGTCGGGCTTCGGGATCGGGCTCAGGCTTGGGCTTCAGGCTTTTTATCAGGGCCGGGCTCGGGCCCAAGTTATAGGTCCGTTGGTTGGGCCGGGATCGGGCTTGGGCCTAGCATATTTCCCTTAATGACAAGTGAAAGCCCGGCTCGAGCCCGGCTCGGCCCATGAACAAGTCTAGTCTTGAACTATTATGACATCACCTTGGGCCAGTTGCACCCTAACTCAATGAGGGTTTTGATCAGCACCATCTTGGTATGTCTTCAATTTAGTTATCCCCTAAACATTAAAAATTTTGTAGGGATTTGTCATATAAAGAAGCTTTCCAATGAGAAGGGCTTCTTCTACCTATCATTTTGCTCTAAACATAAGTTACCAGACGACCTCTCTAAGATATCAGATTGGAAGGGAAAGTTTTTCTCTATTGCAACCGAAGGAGGGTAGCTCTTCACCTTGGATTATCTAGTTGAGCAGATGTTGGTTTAGGCCAGTGTCAATCCAGCGAGTAGGTCTTCTCTCCATACTTGGATTTTTTTCGTTGTTTTACCTTAGGCTTACCTTGTAGTGCGATATGACGCATATTATTTCTTGTAGGAGAGGTGCCACATGTCAATACTGTTGGAGTCTTTAATGCCCTTAGGAAGAACAAGAAGGGCAGTTCTTTTGGGGTTGTCGACGATGAGCCTAGGTTGGCTGAGCAAGTAGCTGTAGAGGTCATCCACATCGACATTGACAATGTCAAAGAAAGGTTGAAGGATGTGCCCAGGAGGGGGAACACAGAGTCCGTCAATTCGGAGGTCCACCTTGCCGAGCAAGTCCCTATAGCCCCCAGTACAGAGATGGATGACACATCAGGCCCCTTCATTGGTGTGGGAGAGTAGTGTGCAGCCGAGTAGGCACTAGTGTTTAACCCAAGGTGGTCAGTGAAGACTACTGACAAAGTTTGGGATCCGAGAGTTGTTCTCAATCTAAATAAGGGGGTCCTCCTCTCCGAGTATGTAAAGGAGTTAAGCAGCCAAGTGCCCCTTGTCCTCTTTGACGCAGGCACCGATAGGAAAAGCGAACTCATGCTCCTGCCAATATGAGACTATGAGGAAAGATGTAGAGGACTCCCGAGGAAAATTGAAGGTAGCCAAGGTGTTCGAGGCTCTAAAGGCCCAAGTGGAAGTTCTTCGAGTTGAGGTGGAGTCTAGTTTTGTTGCTTTGGAGCAGGAGAGGCAAGAGAAAGGCCAAGTTGTTGGAGAAGTTGGCCAATGCCGAGAAGAATATGGCCATACTCATTAGTGAGCTTGAGCAAGAGGCTAAACTGTGTAGGGGAGGATGAAGCTTAGCTAGGAGTTGAAAGTGGCCAAGGCTAAAACCATCGAGTAGTACACCGCCCCAAAGGAGTTCCGGGTCGATTGGGATGAGTATGCTTCTACCTACATGAATAAGGGCTTCAAAATCTGCCGATAGATCATGGACACGTTCCCGGAGTGTGACCTAGGAAAGTTAAAGTTGTCAGCCGTTACCGAGGAGGTGCTGAAGAAGGCAGACAAAGAGGACTCTGAGGAGGTGGAGGATACGAGGACCGGGGGTGATGAGGTGGTTGCCAATGATGTGCTCCCAGTGATGTTTGACTTGACCATTTGCCTTTTTCCTTTGCTCTTTATAAATATGAACTAATGTATCCTATGCTCAGAGC